TTGAATATACTGGGAGCCCTTAAAAAATGGAAGTAGCCTGGGCCTCTCTTGACCTCTGAGAGGGCCTAAGCCTATATAAATACCAGCACATTTCTTGGATGTCCTCTTACTGTCAAAGACTGAGTGTGTACAAAATTCAGTGGATAGGATAATGGATTAACTATTTCTATCATCTTCAAACTACACTGCTGTGCTAAGTGACTAATCAAACTTACGATGCCTCTTTCACAATTTCGGGTGTTTCTGCCACTATTAATATATCTGAGCTGCCTCAGCAATTTGTTTCTTCTGTTGTTTTATGATTATGTTCGTTAAACATTCAGCTCATGTAGGGTTCTATGAAACAGAGACAAAATGTAGTCTCTGCCTCATACTATGTGTAGTAACATTTGCATGCAACACTTACTATCTGAAAGTAATTAGCCTATCCTGGTATTACAGGCATTTCCTGCACAGACAGGTAATACCAAAAAAAAGTAGGAGTTTCAGAAGAAGGTTCAGGTTCAGAAAATTATTCTGTTTATTCCAGGCTTTGCATGAGCAATGACAGGAAGCATTTTTAGCTCAGTAGGTAGGAATAACCACTGGCTTTGATTGCTTCCCCTGACTTGGGTCCTTCTGCTCAGTTGTCCCTCTTATCCACTTGTCCTTTTATTGGTCTTTGATATTTACTCAGTATTGAAATGAAACTATATGGTACTTAATGACAAAAATATGGGATATTGCTCTAACCCAATTGTAACAGGGGCCCTAACCCTGTTACTCAACTGAGAGGGGAACAGAAACAGAAAAACAGGAGCTGGAACCCATGGCTGTGGAGAGGGAGGACCCATGCAGTGAGCCAGGGCCTTGCTCCTTTAAGAAAACAAAGCACATGGCACAGAGGCTGTCAGTTATTTAAAGATGAGCTGTGCCTGTGAAGGGTGAGACAAGGCAGGCAACTGGCTGGCTGAAACCTCAGACATTTAAGGACGGCCAGAAGGTGGTCAGAGAAGGGAAGAAAGTGTGAGATACGGCTGGTGGGATGAGTAGGTGCTCTTGGACCATGCGGGTACATGGGAGTTCTTGCATTGCAAGCACCAGGAATCTCAGTGACACAGACACTGCAAACTTTTGACGAGTCACCAGCAGCAGCAGCCCAGCCCATCCTATGATGTTTTGGTGCTATGTGTGAGATGACTGCTGCTAAAGTGGTAGCATTCTTTTTTTTCCCCCCTCCTTTCTTTTTGTGATATTTTCTCTGCTGCATTGAACCCCAGGAAAAGGAGAAGTTTATGTAAGGTAGCAGCCTGCATTTATGTTGGAATTAATTCAGTGGACTGGGTGTTTAGCTGGAAGGGGAGTTTGCAGAAGCAAGTGAGATGCAAACAAGATGCCACAAGTTGCAGAGTCCTAACAGGGCAAGACATAGGCCAGAGAAATGCCAGAGACCAAGGGCTAGAGCTCATATGCTGAGCTTGGCCACAGTGGGCCTTGGCAGAAAGAGCCCAGCTAGAGAAAGGAGGCAGAAGCTGGGAAATGGCCGAAACCTGAGAAGTGTTTGGAGGCTGAGGCAGGCCAGAGGGCAGAGTGAGGCTGGGTCCTCCTGAGAACAATATCAGATAGCACCTGGAAGACACGGGCTTCACTATGGGAGCAGCAGGAGCTCATAATTGTTACCTTTAAGGCTTGAATTGGGAGACTTCCCTGAGAGGGGCAACTCCTCCTCTAAGAGATCAGTGCAGAAGTTTGGAGGACCATGCACAGCAGTGAGGCACATGGAAGAGCCTACCCCTTTTTTCTGCTGGCAGCCTCTGAACTTAAGAATTCTCGAATAAGATCAAGCTGTGGCAGGAAAAAATTTGGAGGTAGAGTAGAGACTGGGGAAGCTTGGGCAGGCCATTCCAATCACTAGGGGACTTCAGCTACTGAGCTGATAGTGTAGGCCTGTTGCACCAACGTTACATCTCTGCTTTTCAGAGAGACACTATGTCTTTGCGAACATATTAGACAGGGTATGGAAAAGACTTAACTCCATCAGATGAGGAGAAGAACTAGTGGGATGCCGCACTAGAAGTGGAGCACATTGAAAGTGAAACTGCAGCACTCTCAGCTGCCACAGCAAAGAAAGAAAAGAAAAAAACCTGCTCAGCATGGGCACACTTTATAACAGACCAACTTGAAAAAGCTAGACATTTGGCCCAAGAAAATCTAGCAGAGGTCCAACAGAGGTAGAAATGGGAGTATGACAAATCAGGCTTGCTTATGCGACTTCCAGGTAGGGGACAAAGTTCTCGTGTTACTCCCTACCATGACAGACAAGTTATTGACACATTGGCAGGGACCATTTGAGATAGTTTGACAAGCCAGTCCTGTTGACAATGAGGTGTACTGTCCAAGGCACCAGAAGGAGTAACAAATTGACCACCTAAATTTGTTGAAAGCCTGGTGGGAACCCCAAGGGTGGATGCTGAGACACAAGGATCTGGCAGAGGAATTAGGACTGAGATAGGAGACCAGCAAAAGAGAGTGGCCTAAAGCAATGAAATAACGCAAGGCCCAGAGCTTAATAAGGAGCAACACAAACATTTAAAAATGCTTATAGAAGAACTTAATGATGTGTTTAAACAAAACCCTGGGCAGGCCCAAGGGGTGAGACACGAGATCAACACTCCAAGGGGAACCATAGTCAGAGAGAGATGGAGGCCCATTACACATCATTTACAGGAGACAGTATGTCAGGAAATACTAAAGATGCTGGCACAAGGGATAATCGTACCTTCATGCAGTCCATGGTAAAGCCCCATGGTAATAGTACTCAAAACTGATGGGTTTCTTCGGATATGTATAGCTTTTAGGAAAATCAATGAAATTGTTCGATTTGATGCATTCCCTATGCCACACATGGAAGAACTACTGGAGGGAATAGGCTAAGCCTGTTATATTTCAACAATTGAGCTATCAAAAGGGTATTGGCAAATACCTATGGCAAGGAGGGACCAACAGAAAACTGCTTTCGGTATGCCCTGGGGCCTATTTGAATTTACGAGAATGCCATACAGCCTTCATGGAGCTGCAGCAACATTTTGGCGACTCATGGATCACATCCTCATCCCGCATACGATGTACACCACAGCTTATATTGATGACATCGTCATATACTCTTAATCCTGGGGACAACATCTGCGACATGTGAAGGAGGTGCTGAAAGAACTCCACTGGGTCAGGATGACGGTCAACCTTAAGAAACGTTTGCTAGGAAGGCAAGAAACTAATTACCTCTGTTTTAGGGTTGGACAGGGAGTCATACACCCACTGGCCGGTAAGAGATGATAGAAAAGTATTTACCACCTCAAACCAAGTGGCAAATGAGATCCTTTCTGGGGCTGGCTAACTATTACAAGATGTTTATTCCTCATTTCACAGAAAAAGCAGCCACATTAACAGACGCCGTAAGAGGAAAAGTACAGGGTTCGATACGGTGGATCCTCAAATGGAGGAGGCTTTTAAAGGTATCAAAAGGGCCCTGTGTAATGACATGGTAGTGGTAACGCCTGATTTCTCTAAAAATTTTATCCTGCAAACGGATGTTTCTCAGACTGCGATAGGTGCAGTCCTATGTCAGGATCAAGAAGGTGAGGAGTGAACAATTGCTTTTGCTAGTAAAAACTTAAATGCCACTGATACCAGGTATTATACTATTGAGAGGGAATGCCTGGCAAAAAGTGGGTCATAAATTACTTCAGATACTATTTAATGGGGCAAGAATTTAAATTAATCACGGATCATGCACTTTTACAATGGCTAAATAAGGTCAGGCATAATAATGCGTGAATTACACGCTGGGCATTATTGCTACAACCCTTTAAATTAAGTATCAGTTACAGACCAGGAGTGACTAATATGGTTGCAGATTTTTTATCAAGGTGCAAGAAGAACAAAGTGGCAATGACAAATCAGCACAGGGCCTGTGTCACGATGCCACGGCACTCCCAGCCACCGTGGTGAAGAAAGGGAAGGAAAAAAAAAAAGCCAAGTCAGAAGAAGCCAGGATTGGCTCCTATGTCAGCATGGGCATGCTTTATAACAGCGTGCCAGGGCTGATTCACAGCCCAGAACACTAAAGCTGGGATAAAAGGCCCAGCAGGGAAGGAGCAGGGAGTACCAGAAGTCAGGTCCTCAATCAGCCCGGAAGGGCCAGATCTTGAATGCGATCCCAGCCCAGGGACATTGTAGCTACCCCAGGAAGGGGATTTATTGAAGAGGCAGAACCAGAGATGGCTCTATAATTCACTGGAGGAGACTCCATGGGCAACAGAGGTCCACAGCACAGACTGGATCTCAACAGAACCAGAGAGAGCAGGTACCAGCAAACCAACAACCCACAGCAAGTATAAGACGTGAGTCCAGAGTGGGATGCCAGGAAATATGACAGTCGATAACCAACCAGATACATAAGCAAAGCAATGTGCAGCCGTGATCAAATAAGTCAAATAATGTCTCAATTCTGCCGTAGTAAAGCTAAAGGTCTAAGACCCAAAAAGGTGTGTCATAATAATCCTGGTGGCCGAAGCAACATCTTTGGTTGGTGTTAGGCGGGGTGTAGGGAAGGTGGAGCCCTGAGCAGGAAGGACAACCGGAGTGACCTAAGGAAGGTACCGGAGGGACGGGAAAAACCATCTTCCTCCCCATCAAAATTGATTTTCCAGCAAATAAGTGGCAGTCGAGACCCCCCGTGGGGCACCAACTGACGTCCGGTACGTTAACAAGCTTGTTCCTCCCTTAAAGTGACAGCAAAGCCAAAAAGAACCACACAGCCTTGACGCACAGGTGAAAGGCACAGGAACTTACATAGGGATTCTATCTAATGTCAGCCCTTCTAATTCAAATGTTACCTTCTTCCAGGCTTTAAAACTCATTGGGGCAGAAATAGGCATCCACTGCCTGTTGTATACGGCCCAACATACTGCCATGACAATAAATAGTTGTAATAATTACAATTCTTATATTTAAATGCTTACCATTAGACCTTTTACATACAAAGAAGTAGCTTTCATTACAAAATCCTGTCTTCCAGGCTCCATCAAGATCCAAATAGACACAAGCTATTTTTTGCTTTGGCTCCCCTTCTGCCCACTTAGTATACTTCATTTTCCAGTTATCAATCCATTCATAATGGCCTTCTGTCTAAAAGCAAAATAATTAATATAAATGATAAATCAGAAGTACTGGTAGCTTCTTCAGTATCAGTTTGGTGAGAGGAATTATTGTATTGTCTTATGCTATATTATTGGCATAACATGAAATAGAATAGCATGCTTAGAGTTATGTCATCTGACAAATGTAAACTGTCTTTACCAGAAGTTTTAAGTCAAGAATCTAAAGAAAAGGAAAGTGGCTCAAACTTTTGGATTTATGTTGTTGCATATGTCATTTTTCAGTGATAAATGTGTTGGCATCACTACATTTAGTGCAAAAAATCCTTTGCTCAAAAAGACCCACTTTTTAAGGAATTCATATGGATTACATCAAATTTATTGTCTACAGGAAAAAAGTTTCATTTGGAAAAACAAACATTTTTGGTTTTCAAATTCAAAAGGAAACCTAAAATGTGTTTCAGGTATAACTAAGTATTTCTTTGAGTCTAAAATTATTCTTTTTTACTTTCTGATTTGCCAAGGATTTAAAAAAACATTTTTTCATAAGATCTGAAACAATTAAAAAAGTGACATTAAACTGAAAAATGCATTGCTCTGCCACTTCTAATAAGTTCGCTACCATCACTTATTCTTTCAGCATTGTTTTAGAAACAGACTATGGTATTTGTCATGTCAATAGGCAAGAATGGTAAAAGCAGTGATTATACCAATTGTCTGCAGTAACTGTTCATTTCAAACGTTAACAATTTTTTGGATATTGTAGAGATAGGCGTTGTTGAAATAAACTAATAAACTGGATGAGCCACTTACTATTTGACTTACCATCAGCAAAGTGGGACTGTAGCTATTACTACCTCCACTTTATTATGGTATTTAACGTCTTAAAACAATCAGAAATTTATTTCAAAGAATTATACACCCAAGTTTATAATGAACAAAACCACAACACAGCTAACTCAACACAAAAAAAACTACATAAGACTGAATTCCACAAAAACATGAACATTTAAATGTGGCATCTAACCCAACTAATGCCAAAAGTATAACTAAATTTGCCACCTTTAAACATTAATCAAATACGTAAACAATTAGAGCCATTAAATAATCTAAAGAACTCACAAATGAACCAATAAACATGAAATCCAAGAAATGTATTATCAGAAAGAATAGCATCAGCATATTAATTCGTTTAGTGTTCTTACCATATTGCTATTAAGACCAATCCATATAGGTTGCCCATACTTTAATATCTGTAGCCACAGATACGAATGACTGTATGGATCCAAGATGCTGGCAAGGTCTGAGAGATTACTTCTACAGGATTTTCGGGCATCCTCCCATTTCATTGGTGAATGGATCAAGGCATAACTGCTGTTACCAAAAAGGACAAATTTTGGTGGCAGTGTTGTTGGTGAAGGGGACAACTTAGGGTCTATAGTAAAAAAGAAATGAAAAAAAACACAGCAGTATGTTTATGTACTATTTCACACACACACATGCATGCAAAAATGGTCAGGGGCAGATTGCAGCTGTATAAGTTTTCAAAGCTGAGAAGAAAAAAGCCACCTTTATTTCTGGCATAGGACAAGCTATAAACTGCCCACTAGAAATGTATTGTACTAGGCCAGCATCAGTTGCAATGACCAGGTCCCCAGAGTTGGAAATGACAAGCCTGCCTGAAGCTGATCTGAAATCTGCAGAAGAAATTTGGCCATATCAGTCAGCGTTAGAGCCAGTCAAAAAATTTTGGTGGAACATTTTTCTGTCAAAACAGAAATGTTTTGCAAAATATATTTGCAAAATAGCTGTCACATGGGAACCCCAGGTGAATTTCCTGACCACTGGTGATGCAAAAAACCTATCCAACCTCTACTGGTTCTGTTTCACTTTGTACAAACTACATTTCACCCCATGGGAAGGGTACTGGCATGGGATAGACAGCAGTCCCCTGTGTCCACTATGCATGCTGTAGTCACTGAGCTATTGACTATTTGGGGAAGGGAGTTGTTGGGAGGGTCTCTCTCCCTGCCATTTCATGATGACATTTAGAAGAGGTTGGTTTTATTCTGCATTGATAAAGACATTTTGAAATCTTAAAATATCTAAAAAGGAATGGAATAGTGACTTTTGGCCAGCTTCAATCAAAGGATCTTCTAAGCTTAACCTGCAACTAACACAACTTCATCATCCCTTCCTTTTTGTTTCTCTTCCTTCTCACCTGTCATGAACCCAGTCAGATAGTCATGATCTAGGCCCTCTTGTTCATCCTATAAATCATTCCAGAAATAAAGTAGCCACATGATATGAAGAAAAATAATTACAACAGCTCCATGTTTATGTCACGGTCACTTGAGATTATATTTGGGGTGTTTAGAGGTAAAACTTTTTCCACCAAAGATCTGAAAGTTGACTTGATCTTTCTGGCTTATGCATCATAACCAATAAGAAACATACATGTCATATTTTACTTTTTCTAATATTACGCGAGCCCACTAAAGACAGAGAATTCGTCCTCCTATAAAATGAGGGAAAAGTTGACCTTGTCATCAACAGTAACTATTAATTCTGATATCTCGAGACCTAAAATAGAACCAGCTCACATACTGGTAGGCTGATTCTACAAAGCTAACAACAATAAAGTTGAAAAAGATTGATGAGAAAATAAAGAGGACATCAAAAAGATTAAGAGAAGCTATTATTCTGAGTACCTCCAAGGGGAAGGGCATTTCAACACACAGAATTTACATTAAATTTAAATTAGGTCAGGTCTACTCTATGCATACTGTTGCACTAGTTTCTGGTTTTGCAAATGGTGTGATTTTGAACCAGTTACCCAAACTGGTAGAATCTTTGAATGTGCATGTTCTTAAATCACTCTGAAACTGGCTTATTTTGATTTTGTGTTAACCAGTCAACAGGCTCAAGTCAAGTAGATAAGCAGTTTTAACCCAATTTAAGTATTATCATATAAGAGTCTGCATTAGTATATTTTTCTAACAATGTACTTTTCATGTGTAAGCAAGTCTTTAAAAATTGTTTAAATCAAGCCTTCCATAGGCATATCTTGGAAAAGTCACTTAGTGGAAGTGAAGGGTAGAAGAGATATAATGGAAATTTACCATTTAAGCCCCAAGTAATGTCTAAAGATATCACATAAAATCTTATGTGAAGAGGCTGATGAAAAATAACACACCTGCATTAGTTTGGCATATATAGCCTCTGTTGTTGTCACAGCTTTCATCCACCCATTTCCCAGCCTCCTTTATAGGTTTATTTCTCATGACAACACAGTCAGCCTAGGAGGAAAAGGATAGACAAAGCAGTAAAAAAGTATCAGAAGTAAGGACAACCTCCTCCTCCTTTTACATCCATTGAAACACGTGGTCCCAGAGATTCATTCCTTATCATTTTAAGATTCAGTCTTTCAGCTTAGGATACTGACTTCTATATATTCATACCCCTCATGTACTGCTTTTATTTTTTAACCTTGCTCTGACTTGCACAGGACGGGGCTGTGTGTATGGACCACAGAGATTCTAATCTCTTCCCTTCCTCAGTTAGCTCAAAGTGGAAAAAACAAAGCCCAAAGGAAGTCCTGAGGGAGCTCTTTCATGAGTTTGATCATGACAGAAGAGACTGGCTACCTCAATGCATCACCCTTCTGCTGCACCAACTCTGGGACATACAACTGGCAGTGGGCACTCCTGACACTTTTCTCCATTTTCCAAATTCATAGCTGCAACTGTGTAAAATATTCACAATAAAACTTGAAAAAACCTTAGGCATGAAATGGGTCACAGATTTGATAAGCCTAACTTACAATTCATAGTTACAGTGCAAACAGGGTTACAGTGGACAATAACCTGAATATGAGCCAACAATATGCCCTTGTTGCGAAGAAGGCTAACACCATGTGGGGCTGCATTAGTAGAAGCGTTGCCAGCAGATCCAGGGAAGTGATTAGTCCTCAGCACTGGTGAGGTCACATCTGGAGTACTGTGTCCAGTTTTGGGCCTTCCACTATAGAAAGGATGTGAACAAACTGGAGAGTCCAGCAGAGAGCAACATAAATGGTTAGGGAGCTGGGGCACATGACTCCTGAGGAAAGGCTGAGGGAACTGGGCTTATTTAGTCTGGAGAAGAAAAGACTGGGAGGCGATTTAATAGCAGCCGTCAACTACCTGAAGGGTGGTTCCAGAGAAGGTGGAGCTAGACTGTTCTCAGTGATAGCAAAGAACAGAACAAGGAGCAACAGTCTCAAGTTGCAGCAAGGGAAATTTAAGTTAGATATTAGGAAAAACTCTCACTAGGAGGGTAGTAAAGCACTGGAACAGATTACCCAGAGAGGCTGTGGAATTTCCATTCTTAAAGGTTTAAGACCCAGCAAGACAAATCCTTGGGTGGGTAAATCTAGTTGGGGATGGTCCTGCCTTGAGCAGGGGGTTGGACTAGATGACCTCTTGAGGTCCCTTCCAACCCTAATTTTCAATGATTCTGTGATTTCCCTGACCCATTTCCAAAGCCACAGAACTTATTTGAGAATACATCACAAATATAATCTTTTTATCACACTCACAACCCTGACCACAGCATATCCCTGGAGCCCCAAGTTTTCTCCTCCTATCCCACTCCTTATCCCAAGGAACAGGCCAAAGTTTTCCTCAAGATGATTCCTTATCCCCATAAGCCTCAGCTCCACCAGCCTTATACTGGACTTCATAGATGTAGCAGGGGAATCTCTGCCAGATCCAGGTGGCTTCCCTTTGGATTCTGAAACAATTTTATGTCCCCCTTCCCACAGAATGAGTTAGCCTGGAATATCACTCACCCACAGATCACTCTTTACCACAGGCAGTCAGGAAGGATACAAGATAACAGAAAGATTTATTATATAGGAGAAAAGAATAATGCAAGGAAAACAGACCATACGTGTGAAGACAGAACAAAACACAAGCATCTTACTATCTCATCTGGCTGTAACCTGGCAGTCCTGAGAGTCCTGCCAGTGTTTCTAAAGATCAGCTTTCCTGCTGATCCAGCCAGCACTGGCCACTGGGAACCTGGACTTCCTCAAAGCCTGGGACAGTCCAAGATTCCTTCTCTCTTCCTGATAGGTCCCTAAATACTGGCAAGCTAATCCCAAGCCAGACCCACCTCATCTCCCTAACAGCATTGTGCTAATTGCTCAAGCATCTGAGAATCCTCTGTGTGTCAGGTATCCAGGTTGCAGCTGTATTGGTCTAGAAGCAAAGGTAGAGGTATCGCCTCTACTTGTGGTAGAGGTGATATCTTTTATTACACCAACTAGATTTTTGCAAAAAATGAATTCTTTAATTGCAAGCTTTCAGGCACGAACACCCTTCATCAGGCATAGGAGAAAAGGTTGTAAAAGTTCTCCTGGGACTTTTCTCCTGTAAAGTTCTCCTGGGAGTACTAGTTACAGTTAGTTAAACATGATTACTGATTAGCAATTGATGCTCACCTGGCTATCATATGAGTATAAATCCGCCTGTCCAGATGGAAAGCCATTCGCCCAGTTTGTATAGTATACTCCACTTCCATCAGTCCAAAGGAACCTGAGTTCATGGTTTATATCATTTAAACCAATCCATGTGTCAGTTACAGAATCCTTTAAATGAAAGATGAGGAAAGCTAAAAAAAAAAAAAAAAAAAAGAGGATGCAACATATTGTTGAACACAGCTGCTTCTCATCAATGGAGATGCTAACGTATCTATGGGTGCAAACAAACATTGCCCTTGTCCTGCCATAGAAGTTGCTATGTTGTGAACAAAAAGATGTCTTAGCCCCTTGTCACACTTCAAGTGCCCAAAAATGATGCCAGGACCAAAGGTAGTCACGATTTGTGATCCTTTGGAGGATGTCTGTTTGCTTATTATGTGCAATGGGCGTTCCCCTGCAGGGGAATCCATAGAGGTTCCCCCTGCTTGCAGACACACATCTTGAGTCAGTGTGTGGCACCTGGGGCTGTTACCCAGCAGAATCGAGACCCGGGAGCAGCAGAGGCCTGACCCCCAGGGAAAATAGCCTTGGGGACATCTGTAGACACCAATGAAGTGGGTCAGCTGTGCCAGAACATATCCCAATAGTTAATCCCACTTCAGAAACGATGTCTGTTTCTAGCCTGTGAGATACGTGGGGATATACGGGATAGCCAGATTCCAAAATAGTCTCAATATATTGAGCACTGTTGAATTTATAATATGATAATGTGTCACTTTTGTGAGTAAAAATGAAAGGAATGGATATTACTCAAACTTTAAGATAAAAAGAACAGAAAAAGACATTAATTAAATTGTGAACAAGATAGGAATACCTTTCAAAATAGATTTTTCATTTTAGAAAGTAAGGATAAAATAAACAATTTTTGACTTTGTTCAATATTGTTGCTGTGTTTCTAACATACCAAACGTGTCACTGAAAGTAGTCCCAGCCACTTTTTAATATATAGTAACCAATGATTCTTGAGAAACTAACTTTTACCAACTTCTGGAGTTTCAGCAACGGGCTTCCTCTACTTGTGAACTTAACATCTATTTGCATTTCTCTCTGTTCCTAGCTCTTAGTCCTCCAATGTTTTATTAAATGAACACAGCCTATGTCTTATCCTTCCAAAAATAAAACCTGTAGATTCTTTGCCAAATATTAACACAATTATCCTGCCAAGAACTGCTCAGGAAGTCAACCCCTTTCCAGTGGACTTGCACTGCTGATGTAATAGTGATTTTGCCTTATTGTCCACCTGTCTCTTAACTGGAATAAAACCCTATGCAGAAACTACCCAGAATTTGCACAAGGTGCTCACAATAGGAATTCAAATCATAGGTTTGCCTATAAAGCAAATTACATTTTGAATAAACAAGCATTCACATTCTCGTTCCTGATCTTTTAGCATTTGGAAAAGCATGCACTGCGATAAAATGAATGGCATTTTTTCTAAATTTACACCAGTGTAACTGACCAGAATATAAACATTGAGTTCTTTCACTATGACTGTTAATATTGTGATCATTTAAATTTACATCAGTAAGTTTAGTGCAGTGTCACTTTTTCATAGTTCCTGTCTCATTGTCCTACATGCTCCTCTATTTCTTTATCCACTTACAACTCTATTTTCCTACTCCATTTTTTCACAAAATGAAAAATCCTCTAACTGCCATTTCCCCTGCCTGGTAAGATCATGGTATTACTTTGTTCTACAGCTGAGAGCTACTGCTAAAAAAAGCATATAGCACTCTTAGCACCTACAAGTCAAGCTTTGTAGTTATATTCTCATCTAAAACTTTCACTGATGCAGTGTGCATTTATAATTTATTTGGTATATATTACATGAGGTCTTATCTAGTTGCAAAAGACCAATGCAAAAAAAATGAAAGGACAGTACCTTGCACTTCTCCATTAAGTATGGTAGCCAGATTTCCTCCTAAATCCATGCAAACTTTCCTCGCAGCATGCCAGCTTTTACGCTCATCTTCTTTAGAGCCAAATATTCTATAACACTAAAATGAGAATAAATCTGAATATCTTATTTCAATACTCCCTAAAAATTGGAAGCCTTTCCTTTTGAATACACATGACCACCACGTAGCCTTGTGCAAGAAAAGAGGAAGGAAAATGTTTGGCATAGTCATAGAACAATTCAAATGTAGTCTTCTACAGATTTGTTAAAAGCCCTAGTTAGAATAGGCTTTTGAAGCTGGTACATTTGAGTCAGTGAAAAAACAGTATGTGGTATAAGAATATGTGTATATAATTTGCTTGCATGCAGTCTCATAATTGCAAATGTCCAAATACACTTTGCATGCAAAAGAGAGTGGATTAATAAGAAGAGAGAGATACATATACTGACCTCCCTTTGTCAAAATCCCATCCAGTGATGTATTAGGAGTAAGAAATATTAAAAAATTGAAATCTGCTTATTCTATATTCAATTCTTCTGCCAAAAACACAGCATATAGTAAGTATGTTACTGTACCTTATTCTTATACAAAAGCCAATTTTCTTGACATCCTGCCATAGGATAATGTGTTGGAGGAACAGTCACATTAATGGAACTGTTGTATCTTTCACATACATAAGGATTTGGATATCCACAGTTTATATCATTCCAAAATCCTGAACACAAGAAAAATAAGTAACTGATAAGAATCACTTATGAAAACTTATTATATGGCCTATTTGTTGAATGAAAAAAATTCGCTGTTACATTAATTAGACTACTGTTACCTGAAGTATATTTGTATTAAAAGTATAAAGGCCCTTTGCACACATTATATTTGTCATGCTACCTACACTTTTTTAGCACAACAAAAAAGCAAGCATTCACACATCCATGCTTTTCATTACACTAAAAAAATGCCTAATCCATCACAAAAATGGAGGATCTGCAACAAAAGGTTGTTGTTTCAAACACCTCCATGAGAAATTTAATATGTGTGCAACCTCTTCAGGTCTCTCTGACCCTCAAATATTCCATAGTGCATTTCCAGAATAAAAAATGAATGTCTGTTCACTTGTTTATCAATCCAATCTACACAGTTTAGACTAACCTGAAACGATTGAATCAATTCAGACTTGGGCTTTTTGACTGTCTGGACTTAATCAGAGAGCCCCACAGGTAGTGGCTTTACTGTCAACCTTGTCAGCTGTTGTTACCAGTCAACAGAGGCTGAAGGGGCTGCAGCCTCACCAAGGGTTGATTGGGAGGTCTCTGCCACCCAGTTAGGCCTTGCCATGGAAGGTGGCTCGCACCAGCAACAGCACAAATCTGTCAATGAGACTAGGGTGGCCACCTATCCCTAATTGGGTGAGACAGTCCCAAAAATTTAAAGAAGTCCCAGTCCCAGGCTGAATGATTCCGGGAAACAATTTTTGTCCCAGATTCCCCTGGACACAGTTAAATATCATCCCAGTATCATGCCATGGAAAAACATGGGAAATGGTGGGTTTCCCCTTGCAGATTGGCATAGCTCCAGCCTGCAAGGGGCTGCTTGGGACTCAGGGGAGTGGGACACAGGAAGCATGACACAATGCATGTGGTCAACAATAAAGCTGTGGAGAGCATCTCTCCTAGCTGCCTACAGGTAAGCCTATCGGGGGAAGGAGGAGGGATGGGGGACAGGGGAGGCAGACTGAGGCCCGCATGGTGAGGGAGTGAGACAGGGTTGGTAGCTGGTGCTGGGATCATTGCCAGCTAGGGCAGTGCATGAGGCCCAGGGCCAGGGTGGGAATGTGCGATCAGGGGGCCTGGCTGGGGGAGCAGGACAGAGCCACAGGATGGCTGCTAACCATCTGGGGGGGTGGCTCCCCACCGTTGCATACATTCCCAGGGAGAGGAGAGGAGAATGGGGGGGACACATGCCTCCCAAGATTTTTGCATGGGTCTCCCAAAATTTGTGCATGGAGCAAGAGTGAATGCAGACTGCCTGCTGCGAGCTCAAGGCTCCCTGCCCTGCTGCCCTGCTTCCAGGTGGAACCCAGCACAGGAGGGCAGAGTGGGATGGGAAGGCTTGGTGCCACTGCTGCCAGGAGCCCTGTGCCAGCTGCGCCACCATGGCAAGGGAACCCCTGACTGCCTGGCAGCACCAGGGGTGGTGGTGGTGTGCAGTTATGCCCCCTGCTGCTGCTAGGTGAGCAGCAGGCTCCTCACCACAGCAGTGCAACCAGTGTGGGTCTTCTGGCAGAAGCAGCACTGAGCCAACCATGCCAGGTCCTGCCTGCTGGCCTATGGAGGCCCCCAAAGGGAGGGCAGCAGGACAGCGAGTCCTGAGCCCTGCAGAAGGCAGTCCGCATCCTCCCCTGACACTCCAAAGGCTGCATTCAGCCCCATCCAGCCATTCCATCTGCAGGAGGACAGGAGGAAGGGTGGGTATGCGTCCTGTTTTTCCATTTTCAAAAGTTGGTCACCTTAAGTGAGCCCATCTTGCTTGTCAACAGACTGCCCTGAGAGCAGGGAACTGAGGAGCAACCCCTTATAAATCCTGTAGTTTGAGAGCATGGCTTTGTGGTAACTTAGATGTGTTCCAGCAGGGGGCTGGGCACATTTGCACATCCCTAAAACTATCTATTTTTGTAGTGCTACTAACTTTCTAAAGTTACAAAAATAACATGCATCAAAGGCCTAAGTCTCTACTGACAGGCCCAATTCGGTGGCCGAATCTCTGAACCCAAATCAAATCAGAGGACCCTTTAATCTCTCTGAATCAAATCAAAACCCTCCAAATTGATTCAGAGAGATTTGGAAAGATTCAAACATAGATACAGTTTTAAATGTTTTTTCTACATACCTCTAGGTAGCAGGCGGCTCATGAGTGCTGTGATGTTGGAGCACATGAAGTGTCCCACAGAAGCATGGGGGTCTCCCCAGTGTGCTCAGCAGAAGACCTGGAAGTAGACCAGAAGCACTTCCAGTCCACTTCTGCATCTGTCTTGAAGCATACAGGGGGCCCCCCCGACACCTCCCCGGCTCAGTGATCGGTGCCTCCTAGGTTGAGCTGTGGCTGATCACTGAGCCGGTACTTCCAGTCCACTTCCTGGTTTGCTGCCAAGCACATGGAGGGCCCCCCGCGCTCCTGTGGGATGTTCCATGTGCCCCAGCATCGCAGTGTTCACAAGCTATGTGTGCTACCTCAAGGTATGTAGAAAAAACTTTTAAAGCTGTCTATTTCCAAATCGCTGATTCTCTGAATCAGCATTGAATCTTCAGATTCAGATTTGGCCAAATCGAATTGGGGACAGTGATCTGAATCAACAAATCAAATCACTGTCCCTGATTCAAGCCGAATCTTAATCCAAATCAAATAGGGCCTGCTTCACACACCCCTAATAACCATATATGAAAGCAGTCACTACTCCAAAATCTAATTTTACTTCCATCTTCAGTAATAGTTCTCTGAAGAAAAAAGCAGCAAAAAACATACTGCAGAAAAAGTTATGTCCTCTGCAAAAGTATTAGTGATAAACAAATTACTCACCTAAGTTTTTATATATAACTACGCAGTTTTCATCATTGTTTGCAAAGTTGGGCTCGTGTGGTGCCCAAGCTAAAAAATTCACTGGGGTTCCATCCATCCAGCTTAACACAATCAAAAGAGAAAAATTATTATGCACAAATTCAATTATTTTCATATTACAAAATTTATTTTAAAAACTTTTTAAGCTGTGTTGTCACAGCCTGATCTATACTATTTACTTTGCATAAAATTGCAAGAAAATTGAAGTGTTACCTAGCTAAAGCCTTAAATGAGTAAATATCTTGTAGTTATACCTTGTTTTCCCTTGATTACCCCTTTTCATTCTGAATACAAGTTCAGAAAAACATTTAAAAAGGTATGTGTCAATTTACATACACCAATAGTTTAACAACTTAAGGCAAGATTTATCAAACCATTCCAAAAGTTTTGCCCAAATTTAGTGAGAAAAAGAAGCCATAATTATGGCTTGACTGACTAAACCTGAAAAACACAAAGCAGTATACAGTTGAAGGTGCCTCACTCGCTTCTATATTGTTTTCTATTTTCTTTCTCCATTTTTTAAATAATTTATTTAAAATTAGAAAATGAAAAATATGGACAACAAGAGTACATGAATATATACACTAATATTAAGTTAAAAAAAGTAATAAACAACAATTACAATATCACAGAATCTAAGCTGTGAACTATATTCTAACTTAAATATGCAAAAAAAAGTAAGCATTATTTAAATTACAGGGTGGTTACAGCTTGTAAGACAAGTGTTTTCCATGGTGACCCCTGCAAATATGAAAGTTACTTCTCATTATTATGCCTATAATTTCAAACTTTGTTGAAGAGTCACATGGCCTTACCTGACAAAGACTACAACTATCATCTTCACAGAGGTACAGATCCTGGGTTATAGCAAAGTTTTCCCCTAATTTGCAAAACATTGGGGCATTTTCGCATGTTCCAATTTTGGAGCTGCTATGGCCCAAGACATGAGGAAAGAGAATAAAAAAGCCAATGTGGAAACCAGGGGTCAGAATGGCACATGAGAACCCAGGCACATCTTATTTTCCTAAGTCCATGTAAGTTTAGTGCAGATGCAGAAAGAAGTCCATTCCCCATTCAAAGGAAAGAATTGCGCAGGGCCTGGTAAACAACCAAAAGGTAATTTCCATACCGGTTAAAGTGGCGTTAATTTGCTTTGCAACAGGGCAGACTGAACCATAAAGAGGTTATAACTGTGGATATAGCATTTGAATCCAAAGAATCAAATGCTAAAACTAAGTTAACAAAATACTAATTAGAACAGATAGTGTCATACTGAGCCACTGTGGTCAGTAAGTGAAGCCCAAGTCATTTGGGCTAGGGACAGACATTACACATAAACTGGTTTAAGTGATCAGAAACTGGTTTAAACCTGTAACAGAACATAAATTCAGTGCATATAAACCAGTTTCAAAATGGCTGAAACCAGTCTGAGATAAACCTGGTTGAATGTAGTCAGCTCAAACCAGTTTATGTAAAATGTCTGTCCCTGACCCCTTTCTGGTTTAAGTTAAACCAGAGTCCCCCAGCATCCTGGCATGCTCTCTGGGCTGGGCTCTCTGCTCCAGCAGAGCAGGGCTGGCCCACCTCTGCTTCCCAGCCAGAGGCGGGAAGCAGGGGTGGAGGTCTGGCCAGACACTGGACCTGGAAGGGAGCAGGGAATAAATTTATTCCGCCCTCCTCTCTCCTGTCCCACCAGCACCAACCTGCATTTCTCTGCTGGCTGCTCCAGCAGCAGGGGACGTGGCCAGCCCCGGTAGTAGCCTGGGTTGAACTGGTCAGGGCAGGGGTTAATTCCGCCCTCCCTGTCCCACTGCCAGAGACCTAAGCCAGGGTCTACCAGGTGCTCCCCCCTCACTGCTGCAGCTGGGGGCCCAGGTGCAGCCAGAAGGCATGGCTCTCTGAGGCAGAGGGGGCAGGCCCCCTCCTGCCCCCCTCCCTCCAGCATCCCCTCCTTCTGGCATCTGGCAGAGGGGGCTTTTTCCGCCACTTGCCCTAAGCACAGAGCAAGCAGTGGTCGCAGTAGGGGTGGGAGGGGGAATAACCTCCCTCCCTGCCTGCTGGGCCTCAGGGGCCATGCCAGCCGGCATCTGGCTGCTCCTGGCCCCACCACTGCGGCAGCAAGGGGGCAGTGCCCAGTGAACCCCAGCTTGGGTCCATTCTGGTGGAAAGGGGAGGGAGGAATTAAACCCCTCCCTGGCCAAGCCAGTCCAGGCTACTGCCTGGCTGGCCACACCCCACCATCGCAGCTTCCCTGCAGCCGAGGGCATGCTCTAGCACCCCCCAGTGCCTGGCCTGAGCAACTGCAGGCAGGTGCCTGGCATCTCCTCAGGCCAGAGGGAATGACTGTGTACTTGCAAATCAGTTCAACCTAGGCAGGTTAGACTAACTTGCAAAGATTGAATCAATTCAGGCACTGGCTTCTTGAATGTCTGTCCCAAGCTTTAAAGACTGCTATATATTGACATCCTACATGCTAGAACAGTCTCTCTCTGCTGTGGAGAAAAATAAAAATTGAGGTTGTTGCTGGTTTGCAACTGTTCTGTTTTTTTGTTTTGTTTTAGTTATTTGAAAGAGTATTTAAAATGAAGGAAAGGAGAAAGAAGTGATGTTTACCCCTGAAGAGCTTTAAAAATACTAAAACAAATGTTTGAGTTGAGGTGTTTGAAGCAATCATTAAAAATGATTTTACATGTGAATGGAGAAATGAGAGAGTGACATTAAATAATTTTGTGAAAATGCAATCTGGATTTTATCTTCTCTATTTCTTTTTATTACTTCTTGGTAAAAGTTATTTAGAAAAAAATTAAACTGCTTCTGAGTTAATGAGATAAAGTTCTAAAATGAAAGTGGACCAGACCAGTTCAAATGTAGCCAAATTAAACTGTGATTCATACCTATGTGTAATATTTATAAAGGAGGAATCTCAAATCAACATGTTCTTTACCGTGCATGACAGCACCTCAAATCTAATGCTGAAGAACAGCTTTTCCACCTGATAAAAGCAGATGGATTTCAAAAATATGTATTTTAAAAACAAGATGAAAGTTTTGACACTGCTAAAGAATAAGTGGATTTACAGGGTTTTAACTGTCTAATTCAGATCCCAATAGAAAAAAATATAAAACACCATCATTTCTTTCAATGGGAGTTTTTCCTCTATCAACAAGGAATTTGTCCCATTGCCAATGGATACATTGTTTTAAGATAAATTCCTTAATTTGTTTTACTTTGTAAAATTGAGGCAGTCGCAGGTTTTCAGTATAAAACTCAGGGTACTCAACTGAGTACAATACTCTGCTGCAAGAATAAACCACTGTAAGTAATCAGTGGCCTACCAATGCCAAAAAACAAATGCTGGGATTTTTCCTAAAAATATGTTTAAAAATACCCTCTGCCAACATCCAGTACCAAACACATTTCTACCACCTCCAAAAACATAAATGCTAGGAATGATATCTTTATCCACCTCATGCCAGAAGTAAAACACACACATTGACTATGGTGAGACCAACATTTCACCCAAAATTGTTCTTGCTGCACATATTACTAGCTTTTGGGGGTGTGCGATACAGGCCATATTCAATTCAGATTCAGATTTTGCCCAAATCAGGGACAGAGATTTGATTTGTTCGATTTCCTTCCGCCCCAGCATTGCAGCATTCATGAGCTGTCTGCTACCAGGAGGTATGTAAAAAAAACATTTAAAGCTGTGTCTATGTCCGAATCACTGAATCTTTCCTAATGTCTCTGAATCAATTTGGAGGGTTCCAATTTGATTTGGAGAGATTAAAAGGTCTCCTGATTCGATTCAGGTTTGGAGATTCAGCCACTAAGTCGGGCCGAATCTCCACCAAATCGAATCAGGGACTGAAGCTTTGCACAGCCCTACTAGCTTTGATATAGCTAGTTTACTTACCTAGCTCGTTGATCAACACTCAGTTGTAATCCAATGAAATATGCATCCTCTTTGCCATTTTTCAAGATCTAAAACACAGATTAAAATTAGCACTCACTCTCTTTAAAATATGAATGTTCTTGATAAGTGTAACACACTGGTGACTACATTATACATTTCCCCTCTACAGCAACCTGCAGAGTACATGAATTGTTACAGGCCACAACATGTAGCCTTAACTCAAGGTACAGAAACCCAAACTTTTAAATTAATTCAGTCCTGCATAGATTTGCCAGGATAGTTGCCACAACATAAGCACTTAATGAAGTTTCCTTTCCAAGTGGTTACAGCAACGTAAGCATTTAGGCTAAAGATAGAAATTATACAAACTGGTATAAGCAATAGAAAACTGGTTCAAATCTGTAACACAACAGAAACTAATGAACATAACCCACTTTCAAAATGGCCAAAACCAGTTTAAAACAAACCTGGATGGACGTAGTATCAGACTTAACTGCTTTAGGTTAAATCAGTTTATTGAACTTTTGTGTCAGATCCCTTCCAAATTCAAGTTAACTCTTAGTCCCTCAGGATCCCAAGATGTTATGCCCCTCCTTCACAACCTCCCCCTTCACAAGGCCAAGCTGTCTGATCCATCAGAGAAGGAAGGTATGCTCTAGTATCCCTCAACTTCTGACCTGGGCCACTGCAGGCATGTGGCTGCATTTCTGAAAACAAAAGTGAATGTCTGTTCACTTGCTTATCAGTTCAAGCTATACAGTTTAAGAGTAACCTGCAGACTAAGTACAGCCAGTCAAAAAGCCTGAGGCTGAATCAATTCAGTCTTTGCAGGTTAGTCTAAACTGCACAGATTAAATTGAAATAGAAATGAACAGACATTAACCTTTGATTCAGGAAATGCAGCCATATGCCTGCAGTGGCTCAGGCCGGAAACTGGGAGGCACTAGAGCACAACTCTCTGACTGTGTGTTCACTTCCTCTTCCTGCTCACCCAAGGTCTCTGGGATTGCAGAATTACAGCAGCAGGACTCTGCAGCATTGCTCATCACTTCCTCTTCCTGCTTCCAGGTGCCTCTGGGTTTTATACTCCATGGTTGCAGCTGGGCTTGTTTCCCCCACCCCCCTCCCCAGTCAGCCAGCCCACACTACTCCAGCTAAGGAGCACACAAGTAGAGTCACCCCTGCTTTCTGGAGCAGACAGCACAGCCTAGCCCAGGGTAGAATGGCTGCTGAGAGACTGTGATTTAACTTGAACCATGAAGTGGTCTGGGACAGAAATTGCATAAACTGATATGACCCAAATCAGATAAATCTGATACTACATTTAATCAGGGTTATCTTAAACCAGTTTCAGTCATTTTGAAACTGGTTTATGTGCACTGAAATTCTATTCTACTTCAGGTTTAAACTAGTTTCTGATCACTTAAACTGGTTTATGTGTAACTTCTGTCTCTAGCTGCAAAGATTGAATAGATTCAGCCTCAGGCTTTGTGACTGTCTGTGCTTAGCCTTAATGGAGTTTTCTTTCCAAATGGTTAGAATCAAAACCTCTTTTACAATCTATAGCAGGTATCACCTGAACTTCCTAGTGATGGACATACTCGGCTTTCTTAGAATGTTAGGGCTACCAGGCTCTGGAATGGGCTCCCAAGGGAGGTGGTACTCTCCCCTACCTTGGGGGTCTTCAAGAGGAGGTTGGATAGATATCTGGCTGGGGTATTATGTTCCCAGCTCTCATTCCTGCCCAGGTCAGGGGGTCAGACTTGATGATCTGTTCAGGTCCCTTCTGACCCTAGAAACTATGAAATGTAAACTCTTCATCAATCTTCACTACCAAATTTCATCCAATTCAATAAAGCTTAAGCACTTTTTTTTTTTGGACGAACGCATAGGCTTCAAGACAGTTTAGATATGCAACTCCCTGCAGCACCACCTTCCCACCAACCCCAGCACTTGGCACAAAATAAGCATACAAGTTTGCCCCTGTAATTTAATCCATGCCCCAAATTCTCTCCTCTTTCTCAGGATTGTGCTAGGTTTGTGATATAAGAATGTGCAATGTGAGACAGCAATAAAGTAACTGGGTGGAACAAGGGAAGGCACAATTTAGCTTTCCCTTGGTGCCAACTTAGTGGGGATGCCAACTTAGCAGGGGTGCCAGTATGGCTTTCTTCCCTACAGGAGTCTTTTCCAAGGCAGAGGTAGCACTGCACAGTCTATCAAAGAGTTGGGTAGGAGCAGCCCCATGGCCTGTAGTGCATCTGTGAGGGTAGGGTGAGCAAGGTGAGTGGAATGTCCCCAGTTCTCTCCAACACAACCCCCACCCTGAAAGGCTTGCCATGAGAAAGATACAGGCCTGCACCCAAATGGGTATCTTCAGACCATGTTATATATTAATTTTAGGTGGCTTCTGGAGCTCTTAGCTCCTAGATTGTCTGCACATTAACACCTGGAAACTACTTTTAAGCACTCTTTAGGCAGCTTAAAGTTATACCACACCAGCCTAGGTTTATCCATGTTACCCAGATCACATTACACTAACATGTAGCCACTCTAGGCAATGCATTAGTGTAAACGTTGCACCCACCCCTCCTCCCCTGCTGGCCTGGATCAGGCCTACTGCCCCATTCATCATCCTCAGCACCACAGATCCCTGCTTATTGCTCCCACCCTGCCCCCTATTTACTTGAGGCTGGCCTGCACTCTGTCCCAGGGGAGCAGGCAGGGAAGGGTTAACCTGCCTGCCCAGCCCCCACCACTTCTGCCCTCTGGGTCTGGCTCTGCCCAGAGAAGAGAAGCAGCCCAGCAGCAGTGGGTGTTGGGCAGGCAGGGGACTGGGGGAGACCTATAGGCACGGCAGAACCAAGGAAGCCCCAGGAGCCTGGGTAGAAGCCCAGAATGTGATGGGGTGGGATTCTTAGCTTTCAGTCCCTCCAGGCCCCTGTTGGCCTAAACTTATGACTGCTCCAAACTCAAGCTAGCACTAACACTGATCAACACTTGAGCAGCTCACAATATAATGTGTGACAAGGCCCTTACTTATAGTCTTACATACAGCTTGACCTTATTTTCTTTCTTGGATAAGGCAATATTCTAAGTACTGCAGTTCCTGTCAGAAGTCTGCTATAGATCAATTAAATTCAGATACAGTGGCAACTAGGGCTGTGTGAAGCTTCAGTCCCTGATATGATTCAGCGGAGATTCGATTTCATTCGGTGGCCGAACCTCCAAATCTGAATAGAATCAGAGGACCCTTTAATTTCTCCGAATCAAATCGGAACCCTCCGAATTGATTCGGAGAGATTTGGAAAGATTTGGACATAGACACAGCTTTAACTGTTTTTTCTGCGTACCTCTAGGTAGCAGGCAGCTCATGAATGCTGTGATGCTGGGGCGCATACTTCCAGTCCACTTCCAGGTTCGCTGCTGAGCACTTGGAGGGCCACTCCCTCCCCCCCCCTCCACTCCTGTGGGATGCTCCATGCACCTGGGCATCACAGTGATCACAATCCATACTGGTACCTCGAGGTATGTAGAAAAAACTTTTAAAGTTGCCTGAATCGCTGATTCTCTGAATCAGCATCGAATCTTCAGATTCAGCTGAATCGAATCAGGAACAGTGATCCAAATCAGCTAATTGAATCATTGTCCCTGATTCAGCCCAGATCCAAATCAAATAGGGCCCACTTTGCACACCCCTAGTGGCAACTGCTGATAAAGGGTAACATGACTGATGTGGAATAACTCTCCTTTTGAAGCTTTGGAAGCAGACTATTAGTTTAATGCTTACAATCCTTGTACAACACACAGAAAAGCAAAAAACTATCCTGCTCAGTTAAAGCATAAGGAACAAATTTATCCACTGCTTATTTCCAGTTCAATACTTTTTTAACTTCCCTAATTTCACTGGTGCAAAACTAATGGTAAATTAGCTCATCAGACAACTGTTTCTATGTTCATGTTCTCTGGCCTGGTTGATTAAGTATTGAAATAATAAATAGTTTTCTTACATATCGCCACAGAAACTTCCTTTCAGTTTCATCATCAATGACAGCAAGATCACCAAAATTCTTCTTGCAGAATTCCCGACCTTTTTCCATAGGAACACTGTCCGTGCTGAAATAGTACTGCTTGTCTTTATTTATAATCCATCCATCACTAGTAATCTTATATTCTACAAAATAAATAATAAGGTTATATGTATTGTACTTTCAGTACAAGCTTCTCCCAGTAAAATGCATTAAAAAAAACTTACTGGGAGCAGGAGATTCCGTTGGTTCAGGTTTTACTGTTGCTCCTGTAAAATAAAAATACATAATATATTTTAAAGGAAAGTTCTGTGTCTGATGTTTAATTTATAGTCCGTGATGGATTCAATGCAATAGAGGAGAATTTGTTAACTGGGATGTTCTAATTTCTGAAATAATCTGCAGGAAATTAAGTAAAATAAAATAAAGTAAATATCACTATAAGCTTAACTACTGCTTAAGAAAACTTTTTTTGGCCCTGTTAAAAATTGATCCATAATTAATTAATAAAAATTCTTTTATTCCTTAAATGCAATATATTTATGGTAAGTTCCCTTTAAATGTGTTGGAACTGAATTCTTACTGTTTCAATATGCACAGGGCACAACATCTGTATGCCCCACACTGCTAAATTTACTAGGCCATTTTACCTTGGATTTTGTTAATGCAAAAAGACCATACAATCTGAAAAGTCATAAATTAGTAAAATGAGGTCACCCACATAAACCTATTTTCTCCCCGCCATGTTGCCTGAATTGTGAGACAGTCTTTAACTACATAAGCACATGCTGTTGCAGCAATGATCAGAATTATGTATTGAATAGGCTGTTGCCTGCAAGGCATCTTGTCATTTATTGCAGAAGCTGGGAGTGTGGCATGGGACTGCAGGGAGAGGATGGTCTTATAGCTAAGCCAGTTGAATGCTTTTTTAAATAGCATCTTCTTTCACAAAGCATCTATGTAAGGCTGGGCAAGTCACTTTAACCAAACTTTTTATAAGTAATCACTAGCTGTGTGATTCTTGTTTTCTGGGTACTCCACTTGAGATGCCAGAGTTTCATCTGAGGAAGTGCTGAGTACATACTGCATCAACTGACATCAATAGGAAATGTGCTTGTAGCACATCCAGGGTTAAATAGTTCACTCATGGTCCTTCAGTGTCCTTTTTTCTGGCTCACAGACCCTATTTATTGTCAATACTCCCCTGGGGCAAGCTGTCTCCAGGCAGAAGTCAATCCACATAGGCATGTGTCGCTGTACAAGCACATGATACAGTGGTGTTTTCTCAGACCAAAGGGAATGCCTGGGTTAGGGTCTGCTGCTACCAGCCCACACTTCTCTCACTTCTCTCAAGGCATGCACACAGTCTCTGATGCACACTCAGTTTCTGGCCACCTCCCAGGAGAAGGCAGTCCAAGCAGGGTCCTCAGGCTCTGCTTTACTGACCCACCAGTTCTCACCTTCCTGGCCATCTGCCTGTCTCAGCTCTCAGCCTTCCACTCCCTGCTGTCTGCCTGTCTTGGCCACCAGCTCTCAACTGTCTGCCTGCCTGCCTCAGGCTCCTCTCCCTAAGAGCCTAACACAGGGCCTCTGGCAGTCTCTCTCTCCCTGGCAACTTTCCTCAGGATCCCTCTTAACTTTCTGTGGGCTAGCTCATTATCTGGATCAGCTGTCCCAGTCCTCCTGGGCAATCTGTAACCAGGTTTCACTGCATGCACATGGGTTGTTACCCTTGCAAGCCTGAAGACTGCCTCCAGGCTCCTTGAGCTGGCAGACTGCTACACAGCTACAGCACTTTATACACATAAAGACCTAAGGTAAGTGGAGAATTGGGTGCCCTGAAAGAAGCACAAGCAGCTGAGGGCAACAGGGAAAGCCTTCTCATTCTTCCTGAGAAAGTCACGCAATTGGCTTGTTATCTCAAGTGTCTGTACATGAATGTACAGTGCCTAGGAAACAAGCAGGAAGAACCGGAAATCCTCACAGAGTTATAGCACTGTGATTTGATTGGAATAACAGAGACTTGGTAGGATAGCTTTCATGACTAGAGCACTGTTGTGGATGGGTATAAACTGTTCAGGAAGGAGGAGGAGGAAGAGGAGGAGGAAGAAAAAGAGTTGCACTTTATGGAACAGAGCTGTATGATTGGCTTATAGATCCAGCATGAAACTGAAGATAGGCTTGTTGAAAGTCTCTGGGTTAGGGCCAGAGGAGAGAGCAACAAGAGTGATGTTGTGGTAGGCTCTGCTATAGACCACCAGACCAGGAGGATAAGGTGGATGAGGCTTTCTTCAAATGGATAGAGGAAATTTCCAGATTACTGTTCTCATGGGGGACTTCAATCACCCCGACATCTGCTGGGAGGACAATACAGCAGTGAACAGGCAATGCAGGAAGCTTTTGGAGAGTGGTGGGGAATGACTTCCTGGTGCAAGTGCTAGAGCAGGCAACTGGGGGCCATGCTCTTTTTGAGCTGCTTCTCAGAAACAGGGAAGGATTGATGGGGAATGTAGTATAGTGGATGGCAACTTGGGCAGCAGTGACCATAAAATGACTGAATTTAGGATCCTGAGGAAAAGAAGGAAGGAGAGCAGCAGAGTATGGACCCTGGACTTCAGAAAAGCAGACTTTGACTCACTCAGGGAACTGATGGGCAGAATCCCCTGGCAGGCCAGTGTGAGGGGGAAATGAGTTCAGGACAGCTGGTCATATTTTAAAGAAACCTTACTGAGGGCACAGGATTGAACCATCCCAATGCACAGGAAGACTAGTGAATATGGCAGAAGACCAGCTTGGATTAGCAGAGAGCTCTTCACTGAGATAAAACACAAAGGAAGCTTATAAGAAGTGGAAACTTGAACAAAAAACTAGGGAGGAGTATAAGAGTATTCAGGCATGCAGGAATGAAATCAGGAAGGCCAAAGCACAATTGGAGTTTCAGCCAGCAAGGAATACAAAGGGTAACAAGAAGCATTTCTAGGTCACCAACAAGAGGAAGATCACAGAAAAAGTGGGCCCTTTACTGAATGGAGGAGGCATCCTAGTGACCAATTATGCAGAAAAGGCTGAAGTATTCAATGCCTTTTTCACTTCAGTCTTCACAGGCAAGGTCAGCTCCTAAACTACTGCATCTGGCAGCATAGTGTGGGGAGAAGGTGAGCACTCAAGAAAAGGTTAGGGACTATTTAGAAAAGCTGTACATATACAAGTCCATGGGGCCAGATGTAATGAACCCAAGGATGCCAAGGGAGTTGGCCAATGCGATTGCAGAGCCACTGTATCTTTGAAAACTCATGACAATTGGGAGAGGTCCCAGATGATTGGAAAAGAGCAAATATAATGTTCATCTTTAAGAAAGGAAAGAAGGAGGGTACAGGGAACTACAGACCAGTCAGCCTCAACTCAGTCCCTGGAAAAATCATGAAGCAGATCCTCAAGGAATCCATTTCTAAGCACTTGGAGGAGAATGTGATTTGGAACAGTCAGCATGGATTGACCAATGGCAAGTCATGCCTGAACAACCTGATTGCCTTTTATGATGAAACGACTGGTTCTGTGGATGCCAGGCAAAGTGGACATGATATATCATGACTTTAGCAAGGTTGCTGGTCTAAGGAGGCAAGGTTCTTTAGGTAGATGTGACATGTTTATTAGACCAACTAAATATTTGGACAAAAATTATTTGCAAGCTATTCAGCACAAACACCCTTCATCAGACATAGGGAGACTTTGTAGGTGTTATGTGTTCACCAAGGTAGAAAAGAAGCTAGTTTACAAGTTAATTTGCAAATTTTCATTTCCCATTTGCAGGAAGAGAAGGAAGATAATGCCTCATTACACAATTGTGCTTCAAAGTATTCTGGTACAACAGCAATGAACATAACAGAAAATCAAATGAGGAAATTAAACAGTTTTGTCATCAGAACAGGGTTTGAACAGTGCACAGTAAACAAGTCATGAGGCCAGAGTGGCACCAACAAACAATGAATGAGGCAATAAACCTTTGAAACAAAAACATTATGGGTTATAATGTAATATGGTATCACAACACATATGCATAGGGATGCCCAAAATTAAGGCTGAAGAGATAACTTTAAGAGACTTTCTCAATTTTGACTGTTTGACTTTGCAACTTAAATTAAGTTTTAAAATATCATTTTACATGTAATTTCTTAGATATCTTCTATTTTTAAAATACAAACTGAAAAAAATCAAAACATTATCATATAGCAACATACCAACCCTTCCACAACACAGACCTGTAAAATTAAAAGAGTAGTTGATAGCAATAGTAGGTTGGGATTCCATACTTGGACCATCACAAGAAGGAATGGGGCATTTTGCCAGTAGATTTCATGAATTCAGGCTGGGAGCAAAAGAATGGCAAGGCTCAGCAACCAGGCTTAGATCATTTGTTTATAATGATTTATCTTCCAGAAAAAACAACATCTCAAAGGTACTAATTTCTTAGAGGAATTTCTCACTGCATTTTCTATAAATCTTTTTATCAGCATGAAGTTGATTTTTTGGGTCTAACTAGCAATTTACTTTCATTAATAACATCTCAATTTCCATCCAAACTCTTCCAAAATAGGTTTCTGTGATGAAATAATTGTCAGAGCTTTGTTAACTATATGTTGTTTGCATGTAGAACTGTTCAGTTTGATGCCATCATAAAATAAATGTTTTCCAAAGACCTGAACCTGGACTCAAGCAATTAAACTCTAAATATAATTTGTTTGGAAAGGTTTGAACCAATGCAAATGAAAAATCAGAAGTGAATTTGAAATTCAGTCTACTTGGGCTTGTGATAAGGAAAGAAATGTCATTGTTTGGTTTAAGTCATGGAAAAAGAGCAAGACAAAGTCTCAAAGAAAACAGCAGGGACCCAGTTAGATATTCTGTATCTCTGAACTTACTGAAATGAAGCAAACTAATGCAATTTTTACATTTCATTTTTGTACGCGATATTCCAGAGATAATTTTACAAAGCTTTAGGCTTTTTAAAGAAATATCCGCTTCTTGAGGTGTGTGGTGAAGGGTGGTTTTTGTCCCAATTTAAAAAGGAAAGTAGTCGTACCTTTTTTTATTTGACAAATCCAGGCATGTAAATAATCACAGTGCCTGTCATTCCATAGCATGCTAGAATCTCCAGTAAGCTCCACACAAAGTTCAACTCCTTGATAATTATTTGGCTCTCCAAAGGCCCAGTTTTCATACCTTACCTGTCATGAAAACACAGTTTGGTTACAATTTTATTCATATAAAAAGGACATAATTGGGTTTCATAGTATTAAAACAGCAAACCAAGATGGCTTTCCAGTGTTAATGTAACAGATCAGAAGTTGGAATTTCCAAACAATATGTAAAAATGTTGATTTTTAAATTCTAAATAGTTAAATACAGTAACAATAATTTATTGTACCACAGAAGTTTTGCAATATTTCAATTTGGAACCACTGGAATGTTTTGTTTTGATAACATTAAAATATTTGATATATATATATTATTAAGATTACAATTGTTACATTTAAACTTGCAATATAGATTTAAAAAGTGCAATGAATTTAAATAAAATCAAACCAACACATTTAATTTTAGCAAAATATTTCAATTTTATTGAAGCAAAACAAAAAAGTTGAAACTTTTTCTGGAGAAAATATTGCTAAATTATGATGTTCCTGTGATACATGTCAGCATTTTCTGATAGAAAACTGCCCCATCAAAATATTTTGACCACCTTTATTTGAAATTGAACACACCCATAAAATGCACTGTTGTGTTAACTCTAGTTTTACATCATTGCTTAGTAGAGTTACTCTGACATACAGCTAGTAAAGCAGTGGCCAACCTTTTTGGCAAACATGATATAAGTCCACATGTGCCACAAATTAAACCCCACCCCTTTGCGGGTGCATCCACACAAGTGCTTCTTGCCCCACATCAAACCCCTTTGAGGTGGGGCAACAGGCATGTGCAGGAACAAAAAAATGTTCCCCGCACTGTAAGTTTGCAGCACAGAGAGAAAATTAGACCCCTAGATATCCAGGGCTCTAAAAATATCAATATTTTAAAAAGTGGAGCAGGACATGGTCAGGACTGTGTCCTGAGGCAACCAGAGGCTGGATCCTCCATGGAGACATTCTGGCAGCCATTGAGGTGTCTGGGGGTTTGGGGGTGGGGCAGCCACTGGGGGTGCTGCAGCAACTGGTGGGGATGGGGACAGATGAGGCAGCAATTGGCGGGCTGGGGTGGGGCATGTGGGCCTTGCAATGGGGTTGGTAGCCCCTGTTGGGGGCCTGTACCCCTTGTTTAGGGTTGAATCCTCTGTTGGGGGGCCGTACCCCTTGTGAGAGGTCCAGACCCCCTGTTGGCAGGGCCAAACCCCTTGTGTGGGGGGCATCGCAATGTTGGAGTGCAGCAAAACATGTATTCATGAATTCATGAAACATGTATTTAGAGTTCACTTTATTATTATGATAAGAGACTTGCTTCAACACTGTAAGATATATCAATAAAACATTGTCCAACTGATCGCTGTTTCTGTCTCGCTCTCTGTCTTTATAGTGGTCTTTTGTTTTACTTGTGGAGAAACATGGATTTGGGGGTATTTTACAGAGTGACTTTGGGATTTTTTTTATCAGGGATTTTTTAGTTTTCCAATAGGAAACACCAGAATTCCTGCTAGGGAGGCCATTGGCAGGACCCTGCTTGCTCAGAGCAGGCACCTTGGACCCAGCTGGCTGTGGCTGACCTCCTGGACGAATGGGGCCAGGAGGACATGCTTTGTCAGTTCAAAGCAGGCCACCACACCTGGAACATCTTCTGGGTGACAGCTGCCCCGATGGCCGGGCAGGGGGCACAAATGGCAGTAGTGCCACACAAAGGCCAACCCTGCAACTGCAGACCACTGGCAGCTGGCCCAGAGGGGCAGATGCCTCTACTGGCTCTGAAGTCCCCATCCGAGTCTGGCAGGTGCGCAGCAGGTCACAGCCAGGCAGCAGCCCCCACTGCCAGACCCCTGCAATGGGTAGCGGGTGCAGGGAACTCTCAGGGCTGCTTCAGCAGTCCAGCTAGCACAAGGGGTAGTGTCCCCAGGTACCAATTGGCTAGGCCCCAAAAGCTCCTGAGAGCTAGTAGCCCTGAGCTACTTGCCAGGGCAGTTTTTATACTGCTGGGGACAGCACAGGTGCTGGCCCCGGGCTCTAGCTCCCCCTGGCTGAAGATCTGGGAGGAGCCAGGCAGTGTTATTTTGCCCCAAGTGGCACAATTTGCTCCACAACAAAGTGCATGTCCGAGCATGTGTGCTGAAGCAAAAAGCCCCGGCTCGAATTTACACTGCCTGTATTTGAGCTGCTGCAAGTACAAGTGTTTGCATGTGTGTATGCGTCCTGAATGTCTCACTGACTCCTGCCCCCTCCATAATCTGCCCCTCTGTTCCCTGCCCCCTCCATGATCAGCTGCTCTGCTCCTTACCCCTTCCCTTATCAGCCATACTAAACAAAAGGAGAAAGGAGAACTATACATGGTTCCAAGTATCACAGAAAATATTTAGAAATATTTCTCATTATACTTTGCATCTACATTAATTTTGTCAGCCCTGCATAATGAGAGATGGCCAAGAAAAAAAAATGAACATTGAAAAACCCTTCTTCCTTAGAACAGTCAAAGGAACTTTAATATTGTGAATGTAATCCATGTATAGAAACTGTATTGTCTTATTCATTATTTTTATCCCTTTCATTTTAATTCCATTTTATAAATAAAAAAAAAATAGTGTATTGCATGCCCAATCTAGTTTTGAGCTTACTATTCAGCTATACCAAAGCTAGTCAGTGCATATGATTGGGAATAGAAAGACATAATGGACAGAACATGACATCATGAAAAAATATTCTTGTGAAAAACAATTACTCACTGGAAAACCATCACTCCAGGAAAATCCATCATCAGGATTCAAGTAAAATAAACCAATCCAGAAATTTTGATGATACAATCCACTGTTTCTAAAACATTCAATACGGAAAAAGGATAAGCAAAATGCGCACACACAAAATAAACAAAATGATTACCTCAAACAGTTTGATAAACTCTTTGTAAATCATTTTCTTAAATTTGTTAGACTCGTATGCAAATACTAAGCATCTATCCCCAGATAATTAAGAAAAATAATTATTCACAACTGCTAGTAGCTTTGATAAATTGGCTGATAGCACTGAAATTTTAACTGGAACAATAAATATTACACTAGATTATAAATTTTCAACTTAAACCAACTATTTCAGAAAGGACCAAAAGGTAAATTTCTCCTTATTAAGGTGAACTCACAGTGCAGATACTTACGCTATAGAGCGCCATATTGCATACTGTTCTTCTTTACCATTAACCGTGGCCAGATCTCCTCCTATAGCTCTACAAAAATCTTGAGATTCAAACCAAGTTTTCTTTTGTTCTCTTGAATAAGGCTAGAGAAAGTATATTTTATAATCAGATACAGTACATTGTGTGCATCATAAAAATTAAGAAACCTTTGCCATTTTTCCTGTGGTAGGGTGTCATAACAAGTCAAAAAGCAAATCATGCAAAATTAAAAATAGGTTATAAGTATAACTGAATACATTAAGACTATCTCACTTGGAAATGTTTGCTTCTCAGTAACAGGAGAACACTTGGGAGAGCAATATTTGCTATATTACAACACATGAGAAAAGGCCCATTTAAAACTTAAAGGAGCTACTGGTTGGCATTTAAAAATTTAGATAACTTGTTGGCATTTCAGTGATGGATTAGGTACCTCTTCTATATGTGCTTTGTAAATAAGTCTGTAAACACATATTCAAATGTCCTAAGAGAATTCTCCCAGGTTTGTTTTTCTGGTAGAGAAACTTATTTGCAGGTGCCAGAACAGCAGGGATTTGGGTTTTCTGTTTGCTGTGAGAAAAGGTGGATTTTCTCCTTGAATGGAAAAAAACACAGGTTTTCCACTTTAAAGGAGAAATCACAGATTTTCTCCTTTAAAGGAGAAAATTGCAAATTTCTCCTCATTAAAGTGAACTCACAGTGCAGATATTCACACAGATCACAGATTTTCCCTTTTAAGGGGGGAAAACCATGGATTTTTCTCCTTTAAAGGAGAAAGATGCAGGAAATTACAGGTTTTCCTTTGCAGCCTGGCAGACTTCTAGCCTAGGGCTCAGGGAGCAAGATGCAGGGGGTGCCACATGCATGCATGCACATGGCAGCCAGGCAGCGTGCTGGAGAGCAGCTCCTGAAGCACCCACAGCTCCCTCCAAGTAAGTCTATGGAGTTGTGGGGGGCACAGGCAATGTGTTGGTGGGTGGGAGAACACAGGCAATGCAGCAAGGGGGGGTGGGCAAAGCAACATGGCAAAGGGGGCACGTGCCCCCTGAGATTCCTGTGCTGCAGTGGGGTGCAGGGCTGCAACAAGGCTGGACCATCTCTCAAGAAGCCACCTCCACCACCCAGCAGGCAGAACCTGGTGCAGGAGGGAGCATTGTGCTGCCATGGACCCCAAGGTGATGCACCCTGGCCCACCCAGCAACAGCAGGGGGCACAACTCTGAAGTACCACTGTAGCCACTGCTGTGCCTCACCTTAGTAAGTGGCACTCCCTTGCACCCCAGGTCCCACCCATTGGGCCACAGAGGCAGCTTCTTCCCGGAGCTGGTCCCACCTGGGTGCAGCCCCGTGTCCAGTTTTACAATATAAAATTGTAAATATATCAATAAAACATTGTTTTCAACTGATACCTACATACATAGTGGAGTTTCATTTTAACTGAGGAAAAACACAAATTTTGGATTTTTTAAACAGCGAAAACCACAAACCCCACTGAACAGACATTTGAATGCTGAACCCCTGAAAAGCAGGGAGCTTGCAGTGCTGAAGCTACAAAGCCAGGTGGCCTCTGTGCATACATGTCAGCATACTCTGGCTTCTTCGAGCTTGTAGACAGATGACAGCAATGTACAAACCATCATGGCTGATCCACCGTGCAGGGTTGACCTGTATCTCTCTGCAGGACAATGTTGGGATTGTGAATACTAGGCTGGAATAGCAGAGTCAAATGAATAACATTGTCTCCCAGAGGAAGGAGCAGGAACAAAGCACCCTGGGAAGCTGAAGGACTCTGCTGTGCCTTCTATCAGAAGAAAATCTGTATAGAAATTTGCTCTCTTCCAGAAAGGATTTAACCTTTGTCATTCCTGGGTCATTTTTCTCTCAGAGCAGCCAGTTTTTTTCTGGCAGAAAAATCCTGAACATCTGTACACATGTGGTTTCTCCTGAGAAAGCTGTGACATGCCCTCGGTTTACAGAATACTCAAGGATCATTTCAGTATTTATATGCATGATTGCCTTTATGCCAGTTATTATTGTTTACATTCCTTTTGCATTTATTAACTTCAAGTACAATATCTTCCTAACTCAAAATTAAGTACACTTACTTTGAAACAGAAGCTGATGCGATTATTTGAATCCCAACCACCAGGGCACGTGGGGACAGGAGTTGTTGTAGGTACAGGTGGAGGTGTCACTCCCTCAGCCCACTGTTTGCAGAGAAATTTTGCCTTTTCTTCACATTTTATAACATCCCATAATCCACCTGCAATTCCAGTTCTCATAGCAACACAACCAGGCTTTCTTCCTTTTTGTAAGTAAAAATATAGAAAAATCAAAATTGCATATGATTTGAATTCTGTTCTGATATTACAAAAATATATATTTCTGCACAAATTCAAACTCATATTCAAACAAAAAAATCATTAAGATCATTCCCTGAATTTGTGATTTAACCATATATTGGCAAACTGAATAAATGCATATCATCCTGTCACGCTTTAACAGCCAACCCATTAGTGGTTGGGAGCATTCAGTGCCACCCTTCACCACCGCACCCCTCCCTTCCCTGGGTGCTCAATGAGCTTACTGTGTCTCTAAGCCAGCAGTGAAACACCACCATCTGCAATTCTCTAAACTCAGGTGACAGAGGCTTATTTTTTTGATGCTCTGATCTCCGTTACGATTCTCTCTGATGAGCATTTTGTCTGTATATATGTTACATTGTAGGAAACATACAAACTATCAAAGCCAGCAGGCATTTCTGAATCCCTAAAATATTTGAACCTAAATCTTAAACCTAGTAACTTAATAAAAATAATATAGAAATTGGTCATAATGAATGTAGCCCATCCATTGCCAAAGGCTAGCTCCAGAGTTGCCAAGCCCCACATTTTTTTTACTGAAAGATTTTTACTGACAACCTTACATTTTTACTGATGCATATTTTACATAATATAAACATGTAAATATTTTACATAATATAAATATGTAAATAATATAAATATTCTGCCAGGTCCTAAACTTCAGTAAGAGCCAGGCTCAAATTTAGGGTTTTAACACAGACCACAGTCTTATGTGACTGCAACAATAGTTTTACACTGTGCTGCCTTTATCCCAGAGGTCCCAACTGATCCTACACCCTGACACTTGCAACAGAACCCTGTCTCAACCTCAGCCTGATGCCTGCCATCCCTGCTCCCCCCAAACTAAGACAAATTTCTACCTATAACCTCTTACTCCTCCTGCCCCATATCTCTGTCCCAGGTACACTGCACCTTTCTTTGTCCTGCCCAGTCCTCAGAATGTCATCATTCCACCATTTATGCCAAAGTAACAAACTTTCTAATGACAAAACCCTACCACCAAAGAGCCAGTGCAGTCTTTTGATACCGAATAACATGACTAGATGCTATTTTCAATGTAGTCTCATACATACCAGGCATTTCTGAATTCCAGTGGGTGAATAAGACAGATTCACCACTTGTCCACTTGAAAGTCCCTTTTTCTTGTATATCTGAAAGGCCAATCCAAAAATATTTTTCAGGCCTCAACCCAATCAGACTAGTCAGATAGGCTTGTTCATATCTGTAATAAAATAAAATAAAATATTGAATTGATATTACATCTAGATTTAATCAAAATGTGTCATTTTCATTAAATAATTTATGTAAGAGTTTAAAAATGAGTGGTTTATTCAGACAAAGCAAAGGAACATAATATTTATGAATAAATATTGTCAGGCAGAAGGCAGGGCAGAGTAGCAACTTAAAGACTAACTCATTCAGAAATAAATCTCTAATTATGAATTTAGATTAATACAGCTAACTACCACTCAATAAGTATTGTGTGAACTTTGAAATCAAATCACTTCTTCCTTTTTTCTGTAAACAAGATTACATGGTCGAAGACTAAAGTGGAGGTGAACAAAGGAAGGATAAAGAAGAAACCCTCTTTAATCTTAGTTCTTAAACTCAGGGTAACTGAAGGATGGAAGAGGGGCATCAGCCCCAGATGCCAACTTGGAGGGGGCACCAAAAAGGCACCTGCCTCCCTTTCAATCTTTGCCATGGGTGAAGCAGCTATGCGCTGCCCACCCAGAGGCCACAGATATGGGGACACTTGAGGCAGGTAAGATAACACTCCTTCCCCCTTCTCCCTCTCCTGCTCTCCAGCAATTCCCCCCACCCACCCACACACAAAGGATGAGAGTTTTGCTCAGGGTGCAAAGGTCATTACCTATACCACTGCTTACAATAGCTACATATTTAATTACTTGTTGCTATATACAAGTCAGTTTAATGTTAAATGAGGAAAAAGTATCCATTTCTGAGCTTTTTAAGGGTTTGAAGGCTAGAAAGGAAATAAACCAAAGTGTGATGTCTAGAGTAGAATTATAAAAATTGAAATTACCTACTTAAATTAACAATCATGTAAGCTGAGAACTGAGAATCAAAAAGACAAAGTGCCCAGGACTGGAGAGATGTAGAGAGAAAGTCAATTATAATAAGTTTAAGAAATACCTATAAGGCTCATCAAAACAGATGCAATCTTGAAATGTCAAACTAATTAAACATATGTATTTGTATAATTTGAAGGCCAGGTGAAACTGGCTGTTGATCATTTGCATTAAATTAGAATACACAGTACAGGCAGTCCTTGCACTTATGGCGGGTTACATTCCTGGAAAAGATGCTGTAAGTCAAAACAATGCAAGTCGAATCTGATTTTCCCATAGAAACAATGTTATAATAGGGGGTTACATTCCTGACCAAGGGCTGATGCCCAACTTTTTATAGAAATGACCATAAACACCATATCGATTAAACAGGGCGATACAGCAACTAATCACATACAATTTTATTTAATCAGAAGGTGAAGGCACACCTTCATCAGGGTCATAGAATTCAGAAGAGCTTCTCTGGGGGGATTTTTGTGGAGACTTAGGGCCACTTGATTGTTTTTTCATAGCTTCATACTGCTTAGGGTCAGAAGGGACCTAAACAGATCATCAGGTCCAACCTCCTAACCCCAGACTGTCATATCACCCCAGCCAAATATCTGTCCAGCCTTTTCTTGAAGAACCCCAAGATAGGAGAGAGTACTACCTCCCTTGGGAGTCCATTCCAGAGCCTGGCAGCCCTAACTGTAAAGTAATGTCTCCTGATGTCCAGCCTGAACCTTCTCTCTAACAATTTGTGGCCATTATTCCTAGTAACCCCAGGTGGTGGCCGGGGGAACAGAGTCTCCCCCAATTCTCGCTGGCCCCTCCGGTGAGTTTGTAAACAGCCATCAGATCCCCTCTTAGCCTTCTCTTGTGGAGGCTGAATAGGTTCAGGCTCTTTAGCCTCTCATCGTAGGGCCTGCCCCACTGCCCCTTGACCATGCGAGTGGCCCTCCTCTGGACCTTCTCAATGCTAGCCACATTCCTCTTGAAGTGCGGCACCCAGAGAAGCTGATCCAGGGATGTTTGTTTTGCTGCCTTCTTTTTCTCATTGTAAATTTCCCTGTCATGCTGTGTGAGGATCCAGCACCATAAGTAATAACATGGGTGTAAATGGCAGAGCACCGCAAATGCAAATCATCGTAAGTCAAAACACCGTAAGTCGAGGACTGCCTGTATACATACATATGCCCACATACAGGACAATTCAGTAAAATGTGGTTAAATCATCACTCCAAGGGGATCAGTACTAATACATAATTAGCCACAGGTGAGTAATTATCCACTTTTGACTTTTCATGAGATGCATTTTGACATTTAAAATAAAGACAAAAATATTACAAAAATTATGGGTACCAAAAGGATTCCGTTTGGCTTGCTATGTAAGAACTGTATGATTATGTAGATAAAAGCTTAATGTAAATCTTTCTACCAAGAATTAGGGTGCTTGCAACATAGGATTTACATGATTATGAGGAAGTAAAGTAGGCAGAGTTTTGCTTTTCACTTAGCACCAAAACAGAAGGGACATCTGCAAAAATGTAATGATTTTTTGTGTATGTCTCAGTGAGCCAAGAAAAGCTGATATTTTCAATGCTTTGTAAGATGAGCTACCTTGAGAGGTCCTACAGAAGGCATAAGTTAGTAGTTTTCAATTATCAGAAGCAATTCCATTGTGATTTAGTCTGTGTACATATAGAAATGACGTGCTTGAACAGCTGATGAATGTGCCAGTGTTCTGTGTATTAATCAGTAGGACTCTGGCAGAGGTTTAGTTCACTAAGACAACAGTAACAAGTTATCTCATGAAAAATTAACCACATTTCACTGTACAGCCCATGCTATGTAGAGATCTGTCTAGACACTAGAAAACAAATATAAAAAATGATGAAGAGCCATATTGATACAGTGGGCTTTGCTTAGGAGCTAGGAGCTCTCAGCCATCCAACATGTAACATTCAAAATTGTGTATCACCAACACCTGTGACATTTTACTCAGTTGCATGGTGATGGAGTCTCAGGTACAAAACCATTTACCCTTTGCTTAGTTTGTTTGTATGTATACTTTTAAGGATAAGTGCAGACATTCGGGGGCGGAGGAGAGATTAGGGGGAGGGGGATCAGATTAAATGTGGCTACCTAATCTAATTTAGTTTGCCCAGGTGCAGATCCTGCACTTAAACCCAGTCTCAGTGGTCAGAAATCAATCTGAGCCCATAACAGAACAGAAGCTCTGTGCCCACAGACCAGTCTAAAAATGGCATAACCCAGTCTAAGATAGACCTGGATTGATATACACTCAAACTTTATTTATCTAGGTTAGACCAATGCCTGGAATGTTTATACAGTTACTTGTGCAGTCCCAGGGCTGGTAAAGGCCAGCTGCTGGCCCCAGCCCTGAGGCTGCACTTTTCCTACCCACCCCCTTGCTTCAGGCTATTGTTAGCCCCAGCCCCTTGCCCCTCATTCCCTCCATGGAACAGCTCCCTTCCCCTCAAACCTCCCATCCCACAAGCCCCCTGAGTGCCAGATTTATCAGGGACATGCTTTACACTGGGAGCTGAGAAAGAAAATATCAGTGGGGTAAGGGGCAGGAGGGATAGGGTATAGATTCACCAGGGGGCTGAGGGGAGAACCAGGGGTCTAAAAATAGCCCCAGGTCACACCCAAGCCCCGCCCCCCCCAGACTCCATGAACTCCCCTGATCCTGCCAAGACTTCCCAGATACCACCAACCTCAGGTGGACCATGCCTCTCCTGCTGATCATTCCTGCAGAGCCCACCTGCCCCCAACCCCTCCCATGGATCCCACATGCCCCCCCAGTTCCTCCTATGGACACTGCCAGCCCCCTGATTGCTCCTATGGATGCTGCCTGTATCCCCAATCTCCCTGATCACTCCTGCAGTTCCCACCTGACCCCCAATCCCTTCTGTGGATGCTGCTTGCCCCCCAATTCCTCCAAAGATGCCACCTGCCCCTCCAAGCCCCCTAATCACTCCCATAGATTCCATCTGCCCCCCATTCCTCCCATGGATCTCCAATCCCTCCCCACCCCCTGAGCCTGTTTGCCCTGCTATCCCTCCAACTCTTTCCTCCTGGCTAGCCCCTCCTCCCCCCCATCCCGACTTCCCTTAGATTGGGTGGCCATTTTTAACTCAGTCTAACCTCTCAATAACCTCTCCAAATGTCTGTACTTAGCCTGTATGCATACTCTAAAATGTGACTAGGTAAAATAGCACATGATCCTCTGATCAAAATCCTCTTGATCAGAGGATATGCTTCCCCTATCACATTCACATCAAATCCTCTATGGGGCACATGATTTATGAGAAGAATCTAAGGAAACTGGGCTTATTTAGTCTAGACAAGAGAAGATCAAGAGGGGATTTAATAGCAGCCTTCTGCTACCTGAAGGGTGGTTCCAAAGAGGATGGAGCTAGACTGTTCTCAGTGGTGGCAGATGATAGAACAAGGAGCAATGGTCTCAAGTTGCAGCAAGAAAAGTTTAGGTTAGATATTAGGAAAAACTTGCTCACTAGGAGAACAGTAAAGCACTGGAACAGGTTATCCAGAGAGGTTATAGAATCTTAATCTTTGGACATTTTTAAGATCCAGCTAGACAAAGCCTTGCTGTGATTATAAAGTTGGGGATGGTCCTGCTTTGAGCAGGGGGTAGAACTAGATGACCTCCTGAGGTCCCTTCCAACCCAATTTTCTATGATTCTATGATTCAGAGCCATAGCTGCTCATTTGGCAACAAACAATAGCTTTAGCAGACATACAATTTACTAAACTTGGCTAAACCACCACAGCTAAGAAAGATCAAACATAATTCTCTTCAATTATCATTGACTGAAATCTTCATAATATTGAAGTTACACACCATTGTTGGCCCTATTTGTAATAATGGGGCTGCTCCAGTACAGAAGAGGGACTAATTTGTTCTGTAGATTCTTTAATAGTGATTATTCAGACCCGTCCCTTTGCCTATGAACTGAACTCAACCTCTTGGATTTAACCTCAAACACAATAATTTTGAGAAGGTTAATATGCAGACTTAATTTCATATCTCATGCTTATCTCTAATTTTTATCAACATCAAAAATTTTATTTCAGTGATCTAGATTATTTTAAAACATTACTGATAAGATCCTATCAGCTCTCAGATTACAAGCCCTTTTATATACCTGTCTTCAACACTAGCTAGGTTAGCCTGGTTTCTTCCACAGGTCTGATTAGCTTCAGGAAACGATGCAAATGTACTTCCAATCAGGTAACAATAAAAACCATGTCTTTTCCAGCCCTGTCAAAATAAATATTAGGCAATCACACAAAGATTGGAATGCATTATAATTTGCTGTACTTTATTTTAAAAATTATTACAAACAATACTACAGCTAAGCCCTGAAACAACTAAGAAACAATAAGGACGAGTCAGAAAAATAAGCAGACAGAAAAGCATTTAGCAAAGCATTTCCTTGCAATATGTAGAACACAGAAGTGTTTTGTTCGGAATAAGGAGCTGACCCAATTTTCCTGTGGGATAACTATTTCAGAATAAAGATTTGTTAAAAAAAAAAAAAGCCAGAATGTGGATTATCACTGTCTTTTCTCCACCCAGCAGTAAAGCTGCTTCATTACCTGTATGAAGAAACAACATGAAGTATTCCATCTGAAATTTTAACCTGGTTCAACACAAAAGCATTATGGCATACAAACTCTAGAGGACAGGAATATTTAATGTATAGTCCATTTATAGAAAAGTATGAAATATATTGTGTTCTTTAAAGTGTCAATATTTTTCATTAAAAGTTACTCCAACAATAACAATGCCATGTACGCTATATAAGTTCTTGCTAAGTTGTACACACCATAAACAATCATTAAACTTACAATTCTTTATATATTTGTAACCAGGAACAAAAACTTATGAAAACATCATTGCTACAGCATGTGTACGCAACAAGCTATAGCATATAATGATTTTTTTCTGAGTAAACCTGTGTTTTCTCCCTAAGGGATCCATAACGGCATCCCCAAAAGTTTCAGGCTTGACTACATTGCTGTCTGCTTTGTTGACACACAGCGCACTGCAAAACTTTATCTAGAGCAGTGCTTTTCAACATTTTTTCATTAGCAGACCCCTAAAAAATTTCAAATGGATGTGTGCACCCCTTTGAATTGTAAGTGTGGGAATTCACATACTTTTGATTCATCATAGTCAACTTTCATGGAGCCCTTAGACAGCCTGTGGACCTCTAAGGGTTTGCAGACCACAGGCTGAATACCACTGGTCTAGAGAACATATTGAATTAGTCAAAAGGGAAAAGCCACACATGAGAAATCAAGTGTAGCATGATGTTTCTCAAAGGGAAGGATATCCCAGCTAATATTAAAACTTTCCTCTAATGTTTTGCAAGCCAAATATCACAAAATTTAGAGTGCAATTTACAGTAGAGCTGCTGTGACTTCCCGCATACCAAATATTTTGCCAGTCTCCCAGGAGTACTTCTGCAGCAGAGGTGGGCAAAATGGTAGATCCGACTGGCAGCCAGACTCCATTTCTCAGCAGCCCCTGCCCATGTGACTGGAGCCAGTTTCCATGGACACCCCAGCAGCAGCTGTGCTTTGATAGCAGGGTGCTGGGTTTTCTGTAGAGACCGGCCACAGCAGCAATGGCAGGGCAGGGAGTTGCTCTGAGACCAGGCTAGGATCTCGCAGTTGTGATAGTGTGGTCCAGAGCCAGGGCAAAGCCACATTCTGCAACCTGCATGCTCCAGACCAGGCAGTGGCAAAGCCCGGCACTTGTGCTAAGCATGGCATGTGAGGCCATTTTGCTCAGCAACCCACAGCCAGCCCCAGCTCTGGGTAGCTGCTGCCAGCAATGGAGCCTGGGCTGCTCCCAGCAGGGCTTTCAGCATCCCAGCTGCCTGCTGGGAGCAGCCCGGGCTCCCAGCTGGCAGCAGCTACCCAGAGCCAGAGCCAGCTGCAGCCAGGAAGCTGCAAACAGCTGTGCTGGGCTCTGGAGCCCAGGCATGAGCTCTGTACCAGCGCATGCATGCGTGCCTCAGAGCAGGCAGTGGGGGAGGGGCTTGAGGCAGCACAACCCTGGTTTCTCCCCAACTCCTGACACAGAGCTGGTGACTGGGCTCCAGAGCCCGGTGAAGCTGTCTGTAGCCAGCCTCAGCTCTGGGCAGCTGTAGCAAGCAGTGGGCAGGCTGCAAACAGCAGCATCGGGCTCCACAGCTCTGGTATCAGCTCCATGCTGGTGGTGACTGTGCATGCATGCAGCTGATGCTGGAGCTGCGGAGCCCAGCATAGTTGTTTGCAGCCTGCCCACTGCTTGCTGCAGCTGCCCAGAGCCCAGGCCAGATAGAAACAGCTGCACCAGGCTCCAGAGCCCAGTCACCAGCTCTGTGCTAGGACCAGGAGAGAGACCGGAGTTGCACTGCCTCAGGCCCCCACCCCACTGCCCACTCCAAATCATGCATGCACACGCTGGTACAGAGCTGATGCTGGGGCTCTGGAACCTGGCACAGATGTTTACAGCCTCCTGGTGGCAGCCGGCCCCACCTCTGGGTAGCTGCTGCCAGCTGGGAGCCTGGGCAGCTCCCAGCAAGCAGCTGGGATGCTGCAAGCCCTGCTGGGAGCAGCTCAGGCTCCATTGCTGGCAGCAGCTTCCCAGAGCCAGGGTAGCTGCTGACAGCCACAGAACCTGGGCTGGGGGGCAGGGACTTTGGGTGGGGGGCAAGGGGAACAAGCAGGGCATCCTGCCATGTACCCCCTGCCCTCATTTTGTTTTTCTGGCATGCTGGCACTCCAGCACCTTCCAAAGTAGGCATTGTGATGTTTTCCAGCACTCCAGCCAAAAAATGTTGCCTATCCCTGCTCTAGACCATGCTGTCACTGCTGCAAGGAGCCAGGGCAGAGTCACTATCTGCTGCCTGCATGCCCTTGCCCAGAGCAGGCAGGCTGCAGATCATGGCTCTGCCCTGGTTCTGGTCCACGCCGTCACTGCTGCAAGACCCCAACCTGGCCCTGAAGCAGCTCCCCATCCAGCCATGTGCCCTGCCAGCACTTCTGGGGCTGGTCTCCATGGAAACCCCAGCCCCATGCTATCATAGCACAGCTGCTACTGGGGTCTCCATGGAAACTGGCCCCAGCCACGCAGGCAAGGACTGCTGGGAAATGGAGTCCATTGCCAGATGGATCTGGCCCACAGGCCAGACTTTGCCCATCCCTGCTTTTCAGAATAAAGAAAAGATATCTGGGAAAGTTTGCCCTGAAGCTGTGTAAACATATTCTGAGTACAGGAATCAGAGTTCTGAAAAGTGTCAGTAGCACAACAGTGGACCAAAAAAGTAAGAGGATTCCAAACAACTTGTTGTCATTCTGAAGGGGTGGAGTTTGGGGATTGACTATGAAACAGACAGAAGGCATCTTTACTAAATTAGGCATAACTAACAGTGTTAGCAGCACAGATGTAGCACACCACATTTGAAGAATCTTTTAAGAGTAGGGCTGCCTGTAAGAATATATCCCAGAAGCAGAGAATATTATGCAAGACTCAGCAAAAGCTTTGAGAATGATATGAAGATGTAAAGGATCCTTCAAAAGGGAAACCAGCTAAAGCAGGGGTGGGCAAAGTATGGCCTATGGGCCAGATCTGACTCACCAGGCCATTCTATCCGGCCCGTGGGACCCCTAAAAAATTTAGCAAATTAATATTTATCTGCCCTGGCTGCCTATCAAAGATGACAGGAGCCAGGGTGAGTAGGACCCAGAGGAAGCTCACTGCCACTGCTCCTGGTGTGCCATAGCCATTTACCCACTGCTGCCACAGGTCCCCGCTCCACCCCGCCACCACCAGTTGCTCCGGTACCATGTGGTTCCCAGATGCAGCACTGGGTTGCAGGAAACAGCAGGAGGCAACCTGGCCCCTGAGATTCTCTGTTGGCTCTGTGCAGTGCTGGCAAGGCCTGTCCAGCTCCTTCTGTGTCCTGCCGTCTCAGCTGTGCAGCTGGAACGTGGTGCTGGAGCGATGAGCTGGGGTGGGGGATGTGGT